GGGCTCAGAGCCCCCCGCGCACTGCGCGCCCCGTGCGCCGCTGTCTCTGGGTGCCGCTGCCTGGCCACGCACGCTGCCCTCATTCGGGGTCGCAGTAGCTCTCACTTTGAGTCGAATGCTTGCCACCCGTGATTCCCGGCACGGTGCCCGGCCGCAGACACCTGCAGGAGGTCTGGTGAGGCCTCCTCCGAGCTGCGCTCCGCCCCACCTGGTGACAGCCGTGCCGAGTGCTCAAGCATTTGCAAAGCACCACACTACATCCCAGCCCATGACTGCAAGGACCCTGCCTTCCCCTTTGAGGTTGATTTAGTTGTGCTTGCAAGTTTTTTAATTAAACTTACCACATTTATAGTATTATTTTGAAAAGCTCCAAAAAGAATCAGCTGGCATTTTAATTGTAGCTGTTTCAAGTTTATGGACCAGTTTAGGGAAACTAACATCTTTAGAATATTGTTTTGTTCAAGAGTATTTTGGGCTGGGAAGATGGCTCAGTGGTAGAGCGCTAGCCTTGAGCTGAAGAGCTGAGGCCCAGAGTTCAGGCCCCACCACTGAGAGAAAAAAAAGAATATTTTTTATTTGGTATAGCCTTATAGTTTCTGATATGCTGATACTGCCTATTTTGTTTTCCTTTTTTTATTTTTATTTTTTAACTCTGGGCCTGGGTGCTGTCCCTCAGCTCTTCAGCTTCACAGCACCACTTCCGGCTTTTATTTTCATTTTTGCTTATGTGGTGCTGAGGAATTGAACCCTGAGCCTCACGCATGCAAGGCAAGCACTCTACCACTGAGCCACGTTCCCAGCCCTGATACTGCCTATTTTGTAAGAAAGTTTATTCCTAGATATTTTGTAATTGTAGTTGCTGTTTTTCTCCCATTGTGTTTTCCTAACTAGTGTCCATTCAACAGGACATCTGCTGGATATTGACCATTTACATGCTAGTGCTTGTAGTCCTGTTTCAATTCCTTTGGATTTCCTACGTACTTCACCTGTAGCCTCTAAGTTTGTATCTTCTCCAAATTCCTACGCTAAAATCCTGCAAATGATACAGCATTACCACAGGTTTCACGTCAGGCCCAAGGCCACCCTCTGCCACCCCCCACCCAACTTCACCTCTGCCGCTTTAATGGTGTTATTATTTTAAGAACCCAAAAGGACAAAATAGTTCCTCTTCAAAGTTCTGGAAAACTTAGAGAGGGACCAATGCTGATTCTTTAAATATTTTTGTTGGGAAGGTTTTGATCATCAATTCAATCTCTTGTTTACATGGGCTAATTTTTTCTCAGGTCAGTTTAGATACTCTAGGTGTTTCAAGGAATTGGTCCATTCTTACATTGTCGATTTTTTTGATGTATACTTGTTCATACACAAGTTTTTTTTTTTAAATCTCTTTTCTGATTTGTATCTCCTCTCTCTGTTTCCCTTGGTCCCTCTCTGCTTAAGTCAGAGACTTTTCTGGTTTTAGTTATTTGCTTCTCCTCCCTCCCCACTCTCTCTCTTCTGTCTTGCTCTGCTTAAACTAGAGATGTGTTAATTTTGATGATCTCTATAAATCACTTAATTTTTTAAAAATTATGTTTTTTT